CCCCAAAACCCCAAAACCCCAAAACCCCAATGAAATTATAAAGTTTAAAAGTAAATAGAAAATCTTAAAATAAAATAGCAGATAAAAATAATTATAAATTTCCCGCTTAATTAAATGGAATTAAGAAGAAGAATAGTTCACCAGCTAGATCAAGAATCGTTGTTGGATGAAGTTTTGACAGAAGATGAGTAATTTAATAATGAACAGACATGCTTCCCAGGCAGTGATATGGAGATATCAGACTTCGAAAATTGCAATCCAAATAGTAATTTTAAAATCATTATTTAAGCATTATAGTAAAAAAACAAGAGAGTGATAGTGAAGAAGAAGGGGCTTAGATCTAAAGAAGAAAAAGAACACAATAAAATTAATAGAGTTAAACAAAGCAGCCCAAGAAAATATAAGCTAAATAAACTGAGATGAGGTCATGGAGATAATAAGAATAAGTTGTTAAAAAGGAAAATTTGATTGAGAACCCAGAAATTATAGATGATAGAAAATACGCTGGAATCATGGAGATTCTTGCAATACATCAATAAAAGCCAATTAAAACTTATTAATGCTTAACTTTCGAATCTAAGGTAGCTATTTTAACTCATACAGAACTTAAAAAATATCTCAGCCACATGCTAGACTGCTTTATCAAGGGTAAGGATTAGTATGAAGCCAGTTTTTAAAAATAAAAGTAAGTTCGAACACACTTTCACATTTATTTAATATTTTATAATAAATTGTATATTCAAAATCTGACTCTTACATAGTAAAAATGAAAAAGATCAATCTTCTAAACATAACAGTAACTCCAAAGTTACAGAATAAAATAAGAGAAGAAAAGTTGATCAACAAGTGGCTAATAAAATCAATTAATAGACCAAATAGGAACATACTGAAACAGAAGAGGAGGAAAGTTGGTTGAATAATGGCCTTCGTGATGACACCACATTCTACACCTAGATGGTGAAGTAAAAGCTTGAAAAAAGAGAAAAATATGAAGCTTATAAAAGGAAACTACAAGAAGAGCAATATGAAAAAGAGGATTTTTTGCAAAATGATGAGGATGAGTTTGATAATATTGGAGGAAAGAAGAGGTCTTAGAAAAGAGACTATAAAACATAATCTAAATAATAGCAAAGAAACGGTAATAACATTTATTATGACTCTGATGGACTCGAAAGAATAATAACAGTCACAGTAAAGCATGGCCTTGATATCAAAGGAGATGAGATATTCCTAGAAAATGTATTGATCCCAAGAAGGATTAAGAAAGTATTTATGATACCAAAAATTGAGGCCTAGATTCACAATTGTGGTCTCGTTTGTACAGTTGAATGGTAGAATGATAACTCGGGTAAGGCCTTAGAAAACTCTTATGTAAGCTATGAAACAATGAGATTGAGGCATCCTTAACTGCTGTGCGAATATTTTGAAAGAATAACGATTTTTAAAATGCCTTGATAGCCTCTCAAGAATTGAGATATTAAATTTAAACATATAGTTTAATTTCATTGATTATTAAATTAATTCATAAGTGAGGTAATTTCTCAAAGAAATTATAAATGCGGGGTTTTGGGGTTTTGGGGTTTTGGGG